CCTGGGAGACGGGAGCTTTCGGGAAAGAAGGGCGGGTGTCCAGGGCACAGTGTCCGGCAGTCGGGGGCCCTAAGGGCCAGGAGCCTGGCCTGAGCCCTGTCTGTCCAGAAGAGGCCACCGGCAGCCCGGGCTCCGGGGCGCCCATTGGCCAGGGGGGCGCAGAGTGCTCTTAGCCAAGTTCCTACAGCCTGAGTGCCGGCTGCCAGTTCCGGAGTGGTGGGCTTGTGTGTTTAGCCGCGGCATTTCTGGCAAGCTACAGCACAATAAAGCCGTTCAAAAAGGAGGGACACAGCGTCAAGTTCTTTGAAGAGACGGAGGGAGTCTGGGAAGGCCCTGGCGGAAGGCCCTGGCGCCCCGGGTGAGGGCCTGCCCGGCTCCGCCGAGGCAGCGTGGAGGTCTGAAGCCAGGCGGTCAGCAGGAGGAGGGTCCAGAGTGGGTCTCGTAAGTCCTCTCCTTTCCCCCGACAGATGTGGAGGGGTCAGACCTCAGCCTAACGGTGCAAACCTTAGTGAAGTGAGCGTCCGGCAGGTCGGAGAGGACGTGGGTCCTGGGGCAGGCAGCGGGCCCTGGGGACCGGGCGGTGTGGCGTCCCCGTCTCTGGTCACCCAGGCATAGAAAGGGCATTTTTTTCGTCGCCGTGAATTACACTCAGAAACCCGGGAGAGATGGGTGCTGCCTCGACTGCACAGACACTACTTAGCGCGGGCGCCTTCTCCCTGCAGTGACCGGCCCTGGCAGCTGAGTCACCTCTGCCCGCGCAGGCTCGGCCTCCTCCCGCAAGGCTGCGGCGGCTCCCTGAGGCCGAGCGCTGAGGCTGTTGCAGCCCAGCCGCCCTGCTGTGAGGAGTGTCTGCCACCTGCAGTCCTCGGGGCTCCCTGTCTCTGTTCCCTCCAGCCCTGCTGCCACACTGGAAGCCTCGGGTGATGCTGTTCCTCCCAGCAAGTGTCCTTGAGCCGCAGCCCTGTGGTGGCTGTCCCCAGGGGCTGTCAGATGCCACGGGCCTGCCACGTGTGCCATCACTGCTACCTGCCCAGCCGCGGCTGTCCTGAATTCCCGCCCCACAAAACCAAGGCACACTGAGTCTGGGGTCGGCGGGGGTTGGGGTCCTGTGTGCTGGAGCAGGGGTGGGCGGAGGGCCGGCACACGCGCGGCAGCTGCGTGCTGAGCTGGCTCTGATGTTTCCGCTCGACACGGCGCAGTGCGGCACCCGCGAGCTGCACGCCTCAAGGGGCCAACACCCAGCTGCCATCAGCCGATTCCAACACTGGAAATTCTACTTAAAACAACAACCCGACCCTGCCTGAGAAATGATGGGGACGTTGGAGCTGGGCGGCCGGCGCTGAAGCGTTTGTTTCTTGCTCTCCTGGTGCCCCGCGAGCCCCTTCCCGACCGATGCGTCCTCAGGCGGCAGAGACACGTTCTGGCCTCTTCCTTCTCTCTAGAGGGCTCCCAGGCCACCCTTGGGGTTCTGCCTTCACGACCTCTAGATACAGCCACCCCAGTCTGCCCATCGTGACGTCTGAATGAGCCAGTGAGCCGCCTGGGCGGCCCTGCCAGCCCGCCCTCATGGGCCTGCAGCCGACAGCTGGTTCCAGCTTCGATCCTGGCTGGAAAGTGGGGCCGCGTACCGTGGGGCCCACACGTGTCACCTGTCACGTGGCTGCTGGAAGCCAGCGTGGAAGCACCGAGACCCCTGGGAGGTCTCGTGTTTCTCAGCGGAGCAGCTTTAAAACTCAGGAAGAGAGAGGACGGCCCGCTGGACAGGGCCTCGCGATGGCTGTTCTTGTTCTGCGGCCTGCACGTCTCCGCCGGGCAGGGGCCGTTTGAGGGGCGACCAGGGGATTGGGCGCGTCCGCAGCGGCCTCCACAGACTCCTGCAGGGTGGGTGGGCGCCCGAGTGTTGGCTCAGGTGCCCAGGCAGTCGACACAGCATTAAAGGCTCACATTTTCCTTCAGCCCTAAAACAGCACAGAAGAGGGGGCCCCTGGGGTCCCGGGGAAGCCAGGCGCTCTTGTGGCAGAGCCGGCGGGCTGTGCAGGGTGCCTCCCTCAGCACACAGCCGGCGGGTCAGCCGGCACCAGGGTGAACTCACTCCCACCGCAGGGCACGGACAGGCCTGGAGGCCACGGGAATGTCTGCGTCCGGCCTCTGTGAACAGCTTGGCTCCTGCGGTGTCCCCCTGGCCACTGAAGGGCTGTCCGCGTGACCACGGAAGGGCTCATGTCCACAGCACTGCCTGGCGATGGCAGAGGTCGGAGTAAGCCGAGTCACATCCATGACGCGTGTCTAGGCGTGGGTGGCCAGCGCCCGCCTTTCCTGTGTGCTGTTCGCCGTGGCCTACGTGACTGCAGAGGTGGAAAAGTGATATCCACGTGAATGAAACACAAAAGACCACGAGATGCAGCTTTTGGCTTAATGATGATTAAGACTCAGTGACCTGTGAGGGGTCAGGCTTTGGGCCCCTGGTGGTCGAGAGTGGGGGCTCTGGAGCCCAGGCACCAGGCTGGGGGGCTGCGCCCTCTGCCAGCAGCTGGATACTCCTCGGACCTGCATCTGCAGGAGCAGGGTGGACACACCCCCTCGGGGCTGCCCAGGGCTTAGGTGTCTGGGGTGTGCGGGGCCGGGGGGAGGCCCACATTTAGCAAAGCAGTGTGTGAACCGACGACCTGAACAGGCGGCCCCCACCCCAGCAGCCTGTGCCGGACCTGGCCCAGGGGACGTGTGGTGGCCACAGGCGCTTCTGCAGTGGCCAGTGCCAGGAAGGCCAGTCTCCCCAATGTTCCAGTGGAGCCTGTGGGGACACTCAGGGCTCGCCCTGGAACCGCTGGGGCCTACCCCCTCGGTCGGCCCTATAAGCTACCCTTGCCCGCCAGAAGCTGCTCCTGTCCCTCCTCCAAAAAGGGTGTCTGGGGCTGGCCATGGGGACCTCTGGGCGTCTCCCACACCACGCCGGTGCCTGCTTCTCGGGCAGCCTCCTGTGGGCCTGGTAGTCAGCACCTGGTGTTTTCTTCCTTCCAGAGAAACCTAACGGGAAGGCGAAAGGGGGAAAGAGGAAGCTCATCATCCCCCAGATCGTGATCACTAGGGCCTCACAGGACACCCTGCAGAGCTACAACTCCGCCACAAACGAGGAGCAGAGAACCATCAAGGAGGAGGCCGGCTGGGGCCCCTACTGTCTGCACCGGAACCCCAGCACCGTGGCCGCCTACGGCCCGCACACCCCACAATAAAGGCGTGGCCCGGCTAGCGCCCCGTGCCTCTCTGGCGGGGTGGCCGGTTCGCCCAGCCCCGCTGTCCATCTCTGCCCCACCGCTGCTGGCAGCTCGGTGGACGGGGGTCGGGCCCCTGCCCGAGTGGACTTGTCCAAGCTGGCCCTGCGGGGAGCATGGCCTCTGATGGGCCGCAGGGCCTGCCTGATCCCGTCCCTCTCGCTTCTGCAGGAGCCGGGGTGAGCCTAGGGTTCACGTGAAAGGTCAGCCTCCGGGGGAGGGGCACCGGACGGTGCTCAGGACTCCTAGTGTGGCTGGGACCCGACCCAGGACAGCAGAGGGGGCGGGGCCCTGGCAGAGCGGGGGAGTCCGGCTGAAAGCGCTCCCTCTGCTGCCTGTGGAGGGCTCCAATGGCACCCTGGCCCCGGCCACGGTGCGGGGAGCAAGTCTGGCCACGTGGGAGTGGCCGCGTGGCCACCTCAGTGCCTGGTGCTGCGGCCACAGACGCTGGCTGCGGTGTGGCTTCAGGCACAACCTGCTTGCGGATGGCCAGGAGAGGCTGGTGCCCGCGTCCCGCCTCCCTGCCGCAGCAGCTGGGAGGCCCTAGGGGACACGGCCCGCCTGCCACAGCTGGGGCAGGTCTCCGACCTCCAAGCTAAAAGCTCATGACTTCAAAAAACTAAAATGAACTAAATATACATATTTTAGTGAAAGACTTTGCCTCCCTGATGTCTGTGAAAAGGCCCCCAAGGGACACGTGGCTCCTTCAGCACCGACAGGGCTGCCCTTCCCCGGGGTGCCGTCCCCAGGCGCCCTCTGAGCCGGCCTTTCTAGTTGGGAGGACAGGACAGCCCGGAGGCCCAAGCTGCAGCGGCTCCGCTGTGCCCGAGCAAGCTGCGGACAGCGACCACGCCCCCTCGTGGCCCCGCCCCCGCCTCTCGAGGCCCCGCCCTCCAATGGCCCCGCCCCCGCGGCCCCTGTCCGCCCCTCGGAGGCGTCAGGCACACAGCTCCCCGGCCCGGCAGGCTTCCCTGCTCATGTGGGACGCAGGCGCCCGCAACTGAAACTAGGCAGGCGTGTGGCCCGCGTGAGGGGTGAGGTCCTCTGGGGAATGCCGGGGCTCCCCTTGCCAACACTTGCCAGCGAGGGGGCGTCCCGGAAGTAAGCTGCGCGCCTGCGCGGCAGCACGCAGTCTGCGCCTGCGCACGGAGGAGCCGCGGCGGCGCTCGGCATGGGGGAGCCCGAGCCGGAGCCCGAGCAGATCCGTCTGAAATGTATCCGTAAGGAAGGCTTCTTCACGGTGCCCCCGGAACACAGGGTACGACGGGGTGTCCGCGTCAGCGCCGCCTGCCGGAACGCGCAGGGCCCTTGGTGTCGCGCGGAAGCAGCAATGTTTGTGGCTCGGGCGGCAGCGACCGTTCCAGAGCGTCTCGCGGCCGGATGGGGAAACCGGCGGGGGCGTGGCCGGCCGGGGGCGGAGCCG